TTTTAGTATTATTTATACAATATTATAGTATTTCATGTTTTGAATTAATTCTTATTTTTATAGATTTTTTCTGTCATTATTTACTCACCCTCAAGTTGTTCCAAAACTGTAGGAGTTTCTTTCTTCTGTTGAAAACAAAAGAACATATTTTTAAGAAAGTTGGTAACCAAACAGTTGCCGGTAGCCATTGACTTCCATAGTGTGGAAAAAAAATTATATGGAAGTCAATGGCTAACGGCAACTGTTTGGTTGCCAACATTTTTCAAAATATCTTCTTTGGTTTGGAACAACTTGAGGGTGTGTTAATGACAGAATTTTCATTTTTGGGTGAGCAAACGGGTGCTGCAAAAGTTCAGCTAAAGCCCAAAGTATGCAACGGTCCACGCACTGTCCACGTGATGCAATTTTAATAATTAAAAGTGTACGCACGCAGCCTAATTTTTGTGACTGTGTGGACAGTCCGCATACAACAGCGCAGGAGCGAGGTAAATGTTGGGACAGAACGAGTCTACTAGCTGGTACTGTGCATGTGTCGAACTCGTCCATACGCGATTGAGTATCATTTGAAATCTGTGAGGACGTGGCTATGTGTGAGATGGAACGGAAAGTGAAGTATACCTGGGCTTTTAGTGTTCTTCTCAGATTTTCAGCACATCTCAGATATTCAGCACTATGGCAAGCCGTTTTAGCTTAAAATATTCCCAGCGTTACTAGTCGTAATTGCATTTTTACTAGTAACAATTCAATTAGAGAGCTCTACGGTTAAATTCTTACTAGTAACAATGCCAATTAGAGAGCTCTCTAAATCAATTGTTACTAGTTACAATTACAATTAGAGAGCTCTGCAATTCAGTTCTTATTAGTAACAATTATGATTAGAGAGCTCTCTAATTCAATTCTTACTAGTAACAATTGAATTAGAGAGCTCTCTAATTGAATTAGAAATCTCTGCAATTACATTCTTACTAGTAAGAATTCAATTAGAGAGCTCTACAATTCAATTCCTACTAATAAGAATTACAATTACAGAGCTCTTTAATGCAATTTTTATTAGTAATAATTGAATTAGAGAGCTCTCTAATTATAATTGTTACTAGTAAAAATAGATTTAGAGAGCTCTCTAATTGGCATTGTTACTAGTAAGAATTTAATTGTAGAGCTCTCTAATTGAATTGTTACTAGTAAAAATACAATTACGACGAGTAACGCTGGGCATATTTTAAGCTAAAACGGCTTGCCATAAAGCACTGTCATTTTCAATTCTCCCATTACAACAGAAAATCAAGACAAAGAATAGTGCTAAATGAAAAAAAACAAAAACAAAAAACAGTGCTGTCTTGGTTGCTTGCATAAAGTCAAAACTGCAGCTGTGGGCTACAATCAAATTCAGGATGCGAGCATAACATCTACATGGTGTGAATCTTTTAAAGGTGAAGAGAATTTCTGCACCACTAGCATCGCCAAATGGATTTGCATTTGAATTATGTTTTCAAACAGGTTGTCCTACAAAAAAAAAAAAATAATTATCTCATATTTTTACTGCCTTACAGACATAATGTCAAGCGTTTCCACTACTATTCCACTATACACAAACAATGCAATACCTTGCTGATAATAAATCAGTAAAGCTGGCTGATCAGTGGGAAGAGTGAGCTTTAATGATTCAGCTCTGTGTTGTTCCTAAACCAACAGCAGTTGTATGCAACTTGTCCAGTAATTAATGACAGACATGATTGAGCGTTTGATGCTGAACAGAACTCTAAGCTCTTGCTTTCAATGTGTTGAAATCTGAAAACAGTGACTCTCCAATCTGTCAGAGCGGAGTGAATCACATCACACACGTACAGTGTGAGTGAACACAGCCAGAGTGTGTGGATGAGCAATAAGACTGAATAAGAAGTGCATGAGTGATTGGTCACCTTTCTCCTTCCCTCGTCCTTCCTGTCGAAGGCACACTGCTGCTTGCACTGTTCGCAGGTCTGTGGAGGGCCGTACTTCTTCTCAGAGTTGGTGCAGCGCTGACATTTGGTCCCAATGAATGCAGCAATAATGTTACAGTACTGACATGGCTTCGGCTGAAAAAAAACAAAACAAAAATATGCGTTAGCGCACACATCCGTGGGATTTCCAGTTATTTGAAGATACATACTGTCATGAGAACTTACCGTCCCAAACTGTTTGACATTCTGTGCACATTTCTTACAGATAGTGTTGGTTTTGCTGAGAAAAAGAAAAGATTTCCATTAGAACAGATGTTTTACGAGCCAATGTGGCTGGTGGGCAAATAATTATTTTCCCATCCCTGGTTGTGTATCTGTCGTACCTCTCCTGCTGAAACTCTGACCTGCAGTAGGTGCATTTCACTATAGGGTGTGCGATCCGACACTCCTGCGAGGAAGAAAATACCAATGACACGGGATTAACTTTAAATGTGATTCCTCAAGTATGGTGCTTAGATGAGTGTTCTGTGTATGTAGGTGTATACATACAGGTCACATAGAATCTAACAAGGGCAGTGCAGCTTATTACAATTACATGTATGACTGGTGGACTGTATTTTAAAACATAAACGGGTTAAAACACCAGCAGTGGTGTATTAGCTTAAACATAATGTCTGAATGCTTCTGTAGTTCACAATTAACGCGTACACAACTCGCTAGGACACATACATTTACTCCAGACTCTTTAGACGCATGTAAACAGTACGTGCATGTGCGCTCTCACCTTGCAGAGCTGCTGGCCCTGCGACAACTCCTCAAACGGGAACCGCTGGTTACACTTGGTGCAGGCGTACAGGGCCGATGTGGCCATCACCAACCCCACAAACACACAGTTACCGCTACTGATCAAATATAAACACACTTACGCGCAGACGACCTTTAACACGTGCGATAAATTGAGACCTGAGCAGATTCAATCCCAATTAAAACGGCACTTAATCCCGATAAATAAAATGGATCCAACCATTTAAAACTGCTCTGCGAATACTATTATAAAAACATCAGTGTCTTAAACTCATGATTTGAACATCATATAAACTAATACGTAAAAAGAATAACTAAAAAACTGATTTCATTTCTCCGTATTTCGGCTCCTGGTGAGAATTTTTGCTTTCTCCTTTTTGGATCTCAGTCGTCGGCGCACGAACCGGATGCGACCTGTGACTACAAAGGAAAGACTCAACAGCCAATCAGGTGCCAGCGCCGATGGGCGGGAACAATGGGTTTGAAAAATCTGCACCAATCAAAGAGCTCGTCCCGCCTCTCTAAAAAACTACGCATTGTTTATTTGTGACGTGTTTGTGATGTAAAGATCTCACCCTTTCTTGTGCATTCGTGTGAAACTGGAAAGAGTGGAAAGAGTTAGTGATGGGAAGTTCGGTTCTTTTCCGCGAACCGGTTCTTTCGGACAGTTCGATTCAATAAACCGGTTGAAAAAACCGGTTCACAAATTAATTACTCCTGGATATTGGTTTATTTCGACTCAGAGGGAGTGTCAGCCATGTTAAAAAAGTGAATAACTTAAGTAATTTGTGGATTAATGCTTACTGGAGACGCGAACCGTTTCAAATGATTCAGTCCGATTTGGTGAACTGGTTCAACCGGTTCACTAAGAAGAACCGGTTAAATCGAACGATTCGTTCGCGAACCGGACATCACTAGAAAGAGTACGACTGTAATGGGCTCCATTATGGCTCAGACGGGAAATGTGAATTTTCCTTTTAGAGTCTCTAGAGCAAAACTAAACAGAAAAGGTGACAGAATGGTGTATATCAGAAGCTATAGCCCCCATGAGGAATGTAGAGAACGTAGTTGTATTCTAGAAATAATTTTAGTAATTGTATAATTACAGTTGTACGAATTACAGTGGTGATATTCAAGGAATCTTTAATATGATTACTAGTGATTTCCAGCAGGATAATCCCCATTTAAGTTACTTAGAGCTGTAAAAAGAACAGAAAAGATGAACAAGAAAAAAAAAAAATTTCAGCAGGCATATATGTCAGATTCCAATAAATAGTTAGATAACACTATTATACACTCTTTTTTTTTAGTATTTTACCCACAACTATTTTAACCATAATTGTCGTAAGGATTGTGTTTTTGTAGTTAAAGGGTACTCTGCTCACTGCACTTAGTGTCAGAATGGTGTATATCAGAAGCTATAGCCCCCATGAGGAATGTAGAGAACGTAGTTGTATTCTAGAAATAATTTTAGTAATTGTATAATTACAGTTGTACGAATTACAGTGGTGATATTCAAGGAATCTTTAATATGATTACTAGTGATTTCCAGCAGGATAATCCCCATTTAAGTTACTTAGAGCTGTAAAAAGAACAGAAAAGATAAACAAGAAAAAAAAAAAATTTCAGCAGGCATATATGTCAGATTCCAATAAATAGTTAGATAACACTATTATACACTCTTTTTTTTAGTATTTTACCCACAACTATTTTAACCATAATTGTCATAAGGATTGTGTTCTTGTAGTTAAAGGGTACTCTGCTCACTGCACTTAGTGTTCACTTTCTAGGCTCTCACATGAACATGATGCATATCCAAACTATTTGTAAGAAATGCACATTCTGTAGTAACTAAACTAAACATAGAATACCTGATTTTTATTATTATTATTTTTAATTTTACATAATTTACTTACTTTTCAATCTTTCAAACTGGACATTGGACAGCAAATGCCACAACGAAACATATAAAAACTATTCGTTTTTATAAAGATTTTCATCTAAATATCTAATTCAATTTATCACCACATTTCATCGCAGTTAGCCTCACTGTATTTAGTATTTGCTCCTGACACTTTTTCTACACTGTTCTACATGTAAATCGACAAACATTTAAATTACTATATGAATTACTATATTACTATATAAATACTACAGAAAAAAATGATAGCTATACTAAACATTGGTGCTACCCGCCATAAAACCGAATAAGAAGAAGATAGCCATACTGCTAAAATAATTTTTTAAATAATAGATCAGTTAGTGCGTCACTCCATGCAAAATCAACGCGACTCGCGTTCTGTAACGCACTTTTGTGTGCGCCTGATAAAAAAAGATGGCGGATCACTCGGTAAGTAAACAGACAGTTGGTTCTTATGTAGTTTTAGTGGCTATTTAAATGACATTTGTTCAGTCTTTGTTGTTCGATGTCATTTATAATCGCGTTATGTCCTCATAGGTTGAGATTACCGAGGGCTGTCGACTTCCCGTGCTGCGAAAAAATCAAGAAAATGAAGACGAATGGCGTAAGTATCAGCCTGACAGCAGCGTATAGAATGTACACATAACCCTAGCAGCTTCTCTCTGCATTACTCAACGCTCATGTGTACAAAAGTAGCTACATGTGAATATAAGTATAAAAAAAAAAAAATATATATATATATATATATAAGTAGATATTTAAGGATATAACTGTTTGCTTGACCAAAAGTGATTCATAATTTTGTCCCTTCATAGCTTTGGCTGAAATTCTCAGTGTCAAAGACATCCATGGGAAAAAGCTTTACTATGTCCACTATATTGACTGTGAGTATTAATTATTAGCTTTGGTCTTTGGTAAATAATTTGGTCACTTACCTCATTACATGATTCCCTTTATGCAGCCTTTAATTTCAAAGGGAAAAAAAACTAAATTTTTTGTTTGTTGGAAGTCAATAAGCGCCTGGATGAGTGGGTTACTCCAGACCGGCTGGATATTAAGAAGCTCCAATTTCCCAAGAAGGAGGCAAAGACTCCCATGAAGGATGGCCTGCCTGGGTCTAGGCCGAGCTCCCCAGAGAGAGACGTGGTAAGAGAATCCACTCTTCGCCCTGTGACTCTAGACGTAGAAACAGCACTCCCCCACTTCAGTGGCAGAGATATACAGTATGTCATATCCAGCTGTTTTCAAATTTGTATCCTGTTCAGTCTCTCACTTTCTGTTCAAATTTAGAAGAAGAGTCTAGATCTCCATGTTCAGTCTGCTTCAGCTACTTCAAGAGGCAAAACCCTCCCCACACCGGTACAGACGATCCCTGCCCATTCTTTTTTGCCAATCAATCTGCACAGCAAGAGTTTATGATGAATGGGCTGAATTAAAGACTAATTTGAATAAGCTCATTATACACTTTTCAAACAGTGTGAGGGATGCAGTTTTTGCCTCGTCTCGATTTAAACGGCACATAGCATTTAGAACCTTTTATGTGATGTGTAAATTAAAGATATTTATTGCTAAATAATTATAGCATTGTAAAAGGAATTACATAAGATTCAATCTTTGAAAGATGCAAAGTTATAATGTACATCTAAAATACTAGCTATATTTTTAGTATTTATTGCACAGGGAACTAAAAAAAGATGTTTTGTTACTCCTAAAGCAAGTCTATTCATTTTGCAAACTGTATGTAAAATCTCCTAATACAGCCAGACCACATTAATCAGAACATTCTTATGACTCCTTATTTATTTCATGAGGTAAGTGGCAGAAGTTTACTCATGGTTGTTTTTAGGTATGATGGATTTTAGTACCTTTTAAAGAACGTTGCACTCACTTTTTATGCAGAGAAAACTAGCTGTCCTGTTTCTGTTTGATCTTACAGAAAAGGAAAGCAGAGTCAGTTTCTTTGGCAACACAAGTGACCGCAGCGACTCCAGTGCCTTCACTTCCTAGTTCTGCGGAGGCGAGTCAGGCCTCTGTCTATCCAACAATGAGAGATTCCTCTTTCAGCATTAAATCCAGAGATGAGCATGAACCACTCACCTCTCTCACTACAGTAAGAAACAATTCGAGAATAGTTTGTCTCTTCTATATATATATTTTTAAAAAAAATTTTTTTTTTATTAAGTATATAGTATTTTTTTAAATATCATTTTAAAAATCAAACCTTTCTTTATTTCCTTTGCTTCTTCCTCCTGGAAGAATGGCACAACCTCCATCCAGCGTCATCTTATTCCTCCTCCGCCTGGGAGAAAAAGAAAAAGTTGTGGAGGGACAGACGAGGTATGTCCTGCAGATAAAAATGCTCATTCTCAAAATCAACATGTCATGAATATACCATGACAATGGTCCTGTAAGATGTTCAGCATCTATTAAAATTAGGATTGTGGCATTTTAGGGCACTTCTATTCTTTTTATCTCATGAAGGTACTTTGCTATACTATTATTATAGTACTATAATTATATAGGTGAAATATTGTGTTATACAAGTTCTGTGCTATGCAAACAGTTATATTAGAATCCAACACTGACTACTAGTGAGAGCAGAGTGAGAACTGCGTTCCAACCAAAACTAAATGACCAACCAAAAAAACAGATGTTTTCCAATGAAATTCTGCTTTCTGCTCTACTATGACTCCCCTTACTCCATTTAAATTTCCCAAAGCTTTGCAACCCCTTGTGTTTTTTTAGATGGTAAAGATGTTCCAGAATAACAGCCCTCGCTGCTCCACCATCTATTTGCTGCCAGGAGAGGTCCGGCTCCTTTACTTCCCATTGCTTTTGCTTTGGTTTGAGTGTCTTGTCAGAATGGAGGCTTATGGCTGTTAAAGAATCAGGTTCTAGATAGGATTCTGTAAATGAAATAATAGAGTCCATTGCACTGAATACGTAATATTTTTGGAAAGAAATCAGATAAACCTGCCATTAAAAAAAACGTTTACACAAAACCCACAAACATGTTTTAAATATGAAGGACATTCACATTCACATGTTTTGATGGTTCATATTATTCTCGTTGACTCTACTCTTATCTCAGGACTCTCAGGACAGTTCAGATGGAATCCCATCTGCCCCACGCATGACTGGTAGTTTGGTGTCAGACCGCAGTCATGATGACATTGTGACGCGAATGAAGAACATAGACTGTATTGAGCTGGGCCGGCACAGATTGAAGCCTTGGTACTTCTCTCCATACCCACAGGAGCTCACCTCTTTGCTCATTCTCTACCTCTGTGAATTCTGTCTCAAATACCTCAAGAGCCTCAAATGTCTTCAAAGACACCTGGTAAGACTAGTTTGAAGACTTTAGGCCTAAGGTGTGGTCACATAAGCAAAATTAAACAGGCATTTTCCATTGTCAGTAGTAAAGCTATGCATGAGGCACATCACACACTGAAGTCACATTTAATTTGGTCAACGCAGCGAATTTGTGTGACCAACTTGAACACCAGCAAAATCTGCTTGGGGAACATTTTCACCCTCATGCAGAACTCTTGATTGCACGGATTCCTATTGAAAATTTGCAATGGTAAATGTGACTACATCCTTAAAAACATGTTATAGTTACACATATTTTGTGTATAATTGGTATTACATTTAATACAATTATTACTCCTCCTGTAACTTTTAAAGACGAAATGCAACCTTCGGCATCCACCAGGAAATGAGATCTACCGCAAAGGAACCATCTCCTTTTTCGAAATAGATGGCAGAAAAAACAAGGTGTGTAATAAGAGGCAGATGACAAAATTAGAGTTTGGATTAGTGATTTGACACAAATAACTCAAAAAACTATGTTGTTATAAAGTGGCTAAACATAATAAAGAATATTTAAATGTTGCTGTTTGGACACTTTTTTTGTTTTACTTGCACTAATAGGGTCCAGTGCGCCTGTTGTTGCACGTACTATACATCTTTGTGGTCTCTTGATGGTCTTTTAAATCTTTGATGCTCTTTCACTGCACAGGCATATTCCCAAAATTTGTGCTTATTGGCCAAATGCTTCCTGGACCATAAGACCCTGTACTACGACACCGATCCTTTCCTCTTCTATGTTATGACAGAGTATGACTCTAAGGGTTTCCATATCGTTGGCTACTTCTCAAAGGTATATTCTTTATCTGCTGGCATCTGTTGTTTTATGCCGTTTAATCCTTCAAACATTTGCGTGTACTATATTTCCTAAAAAAATGAACGCCTCTTGGTTTGATAGTCTCTAAAGTGTCCAAATGGTCTTTGAGGCCACTATATTAAATGTCTTTTTTTTCTCTTTCATTAAAGGAGAAGGAATCAACAGAAGACTATAATGTGGCCTGTATCCTGACCTTACCACCTTATCAGAGAAGAGGCTATGGCAAACTACTAATTGAGTTCAGTGAGTAATTTTACAGTTCTCAGGACTAGTTAAATTGAGTTAGGCAACATTTTTGCTCAATTTTTAGATTTTCAGTCAATAATTTATGCCACAATGTTATTTAATATAATAAGCCCTGAATGTTGTGGGCCCTGTTTCACGTCACATCTCGTCTCCAAGGTTATGAGCTCTCAAAGGTGGAAGGAAAGACAGGCACCCCAGAGAAACCTCTGTCTGATTTGGGCCTGCTCTCCTACCGTTCATACTGGTCCCAGACCATTCTGGAGATACTCATGGACCTCAAATCAGAGAATGGAGAGCGGCCACAGATCACCATCAAGTATGTGCCCACTGTTTTTATTGTACTAAGGAAATACTTTGTAGGCAGTTTTCTAGCAGTGTTCTTGCCTTTGTTGTTTTTAGTGAAATTAGCGAGATCACAAGTGTCAAGAAAGAGGATGTGATATCAACTCTTCAATACCTCAACCTCATCAATTATTATAAGGTAAAAAAATCACTTTCAGTGAAAGCAGAATGCACCTTTCTTTATTTAAGCTCTCAAATGGAATTATTTTGCGGTTGAAAGTCAGACAACATTAGTCATATTCTTTGCTAATTCAGATTGGTTTTGCTCTTCTCCATTGCAGGGTCAATATATCCTCACCTTGTCTGAGGACATAGTGGAAGGTCACGAGCGTGCCATGCAGAAACGCCACCTCCGTATTGATCCCAAATGCCTGCATTTCACTCCTAAAGACTGGAGCAAGAGGGGCAAGTGGTGAAGTTCAGAGGAGGGCTGGTAGCTCACAGCTACAGAGAGCAATTAAAACCAACATAAATACTGTAAATAGTCTTGTATTTATGTACTTTTATGGTTTTTATATCAAGCACTTGTTCGCCAATATTTTGAGCCATTTCAAAAATGTAACTGAATGTGATGTGTAAATAAACAGTCTGTACTGTTTGGGGTTAAGACGTTTTCTCAGTCACTATAGATTAAAAGATAAAAGATTGTAGCTCAGCTTCGGTGCTTTGTGAATTTTTTTAAGTATGTGATGCATTACATGTATTTAATATTTCCAATATTCAATTACATGTTGTATCCTGCTATACTCAGACTGTACAACTACACATACTAAATGTAAACATCCCCACATGAACGAAACACCATCTATTATCTAGGTCCAGGTACTAGAGATGTTTTATTGCTGTGGACAACTCCCAACTGAATTAATGTCAACACTTTATTTGTCAACAATGTTAATGTATAAGCAAAAGTTAGATTATAGGTCGTTACATAGTGTCATTTTAAACAAGTGCAAGAAAGTTTGGAATTTCAAGTAAAGACAAGTCTGTATGCAAAACCCTGAGGCTGAAAAAACTGGCCTCAACTTCCCTCTGCATCAAGATGATGCAGGTAGAATCCCAGTGACATCACAATACTTTGGTCATGTGATGCTCAGTCACAGAGTTCTACTACATACAGCTCATACAGTACAAGCCCTAATGTTTCTAATATGTATTAATGCTTCAATAGTCTTAATAAATGTATTAATATAATACTAGTATCAAACCGTTTTAGTGATTAAAAGCTTCTTCCATCCAGCCAGCTGGTAGCAGTGAGGTGAATGTTAGTGTGTGAATTTACATCAGTTGTGCATCACTGCAAGTAACATGAGAACCATGTGACACGCTCACACAGTGTGTGGGGATCTACATTCCTTAAAACGGTAAAGCGCTTATACGAAGGTTTGCACAGGTGTGATGGAGCGTGTAGGAGACCCTGCCCTCTCAGAGGTTGACGAGGCCGTACGATTGGCCGCCTCGCGCTGCAGCTCTTCCACCCTCTTCTGAAGCTCTGCCCGTTTTGCTAGCAACTCTTTGTAGCGCTGATGGACAGGCTCCTAAAACACATTGTTCATCAAACTGAGACTTTCAAACAAAACAGATAGCACAAGCCATTTTAAAACACACAAGTTCTTAAAATGATAACTAAAATGTCAGATGTTTAGTTGATGGATAATATAATTACATCACTAATTATGCGCTTAAGTAATATTTATTCACACAAAAAAAAAAACTCTAGATACTTTTTTTTTAGTAACAACCTCAGTACACAACAGGGCTTTTCACATTTGAAATAGTTAACCCTGTGTCATTCTAAACCCTGGGTAAATGTAATTCTGGGTTACCATGATTCAAGTTTTACATTGCTCATATTTTTCATTGGGTTAACCATTAATCCTGGGTATTCATAAGTTGACACTGTACATTCCTAAACCCCATGTCAGTGTTCTTATTTGTGGTGTCAGTGGCATTGATTGGACAAATGCAGTCCAATACGGTCTAGTTTTTCCTGAACTGACTTTTTGGGTGGACTTTAAAGGCAAGAATTAAAGTGTCGTCTTCATTCCAGTTCACGTTTTCCCATCACCATTCGACATTTTCCCCCTCAAACGCTGAAAACTGTTTATACAACTCACTGTGTTTCCATGAATGTTCAAGCAGGGTTTCACAACTCCGGGTAAAAGAGGTGCTAACCCCGCTTCTAAATTACAAGTGTGAAACAAAACTTTACCCGCAGGGTTTAGAACGACAATAACTTGGGGTTTAAGTGCGGTGTGAAAAGCCCAAATGAAATGTCTTTTAAATATAAGACGAATGTGAGCAAACTTTAGCTAGCAGAGTCAGATAATAAACCTGACAATTTCCACACCTACACATCCATTAAAACCTGGAGTGTACCTGTGGTCGCATGCGAGGATTCCAGCGTATGTAGTAGGTGACCCAGAGCTGGAGGTGTCGTATACCGACGGTGGGGAAGAGCACATGGGAAGCATAATGCACGTACAGTGGATTCACAAACTCCTCTAGCTGACTGTTCACAAATGACCATAAAGACACCGTGTGCTTTGGGACTTCCTAAACACAAAAACAGACAGTCCCTTAGACCTACACACACTCATATAAGCATCTTATAAATAAACACAAGTCTCACACGAATTTATAATTTAACAATGACAAAGGATCATTTACTGTAAGTTGCTTTAGATAAAAGCATCTGCCAAATTACATTCTGATCCAATAAAGGCTAATTTTCAAACTTACTGTGCAAATGAGATGCATACAAAGTGTACAAACATTTATGCCCATGGCCATTCTCTCTCTTACCTCTTTGAGTCTTTGCTGCTCACTGTTACACAGAAATGTGCCAAAAAGGCAGCTGTAGAGGTGATCCAGTATTGTTAAGAGGAAATACTCATTGAATTCGAAAGCTGCAGGAAACTACAAACAGACAAATATTTATTACTTATACAGACACAGACATAGAAAATACACTGAAGAGGCAGGCAGGTGTTGCTCTGGTAACTCTGGGGTGTTTTGCACTCACCTGTCTTGTCATCTGCCAGACACAGTCAATGAACTGCAGGAAGATCGGAGAGCGATCTGCATCTGTGTGATTCTTATCACCATGACCCACTCTCTATATTCACAAAAAGAATCATTTATTCATAATGAACAAATTGACTTAAAATAATTGCAAAACATGATATAATAACACTAAAAAAAAAAAATCCAATACTTGACACTGCTGTATTACACTATTGTTCAAAAGTATGAAGTCAGTAAGATTTTTTTATATTTTTAAAAGAGGTCTCTTATGCTCACCAAGGCTGCATTTTTTTATTTGTATTTTAAAATATGTTCAAATATAATTTATTCCTGTGATGGTAAAGTGTATAACTAGATATTACATATTATATATTATATATTATATATATATATATAAACTATTTTCTCAGTCCATTGCAATGGCGCAAGAGTGTTCCCTTTATAATCACTAAAAGCTGTCACTTATCTTTGTTCATCGCAATCTCACAAAGTTACGTTATAATCAATGAAGTTCTCTATGCTGCATAATGAATCTCTTATTTACATCGAGTCTACACTTTGTTATAATGAGATGTTTCGTGCTGAACGCAACACCTGAACAAAAACTGCGGTGATTTGAGCAGTGAGTGTATTCTAACTTAAATGCGTCTGATTGGCTGTTGGGTTCCAGAAATCAACAAATATGTCTGTGATTGGCTACATTGCTCAATGCTGCAAAAGATGTTGAAATGGAAACCAATCTCCAGAGCGCAAACCATAAAGCACTGGATAGTTTGCCAAATCTTCAATGAAATGCCATTATTACAGCATTAACTGATGGTGCTATTGATTTCGTTTGAGGGTGCTTAGCACCCCCGTAGAACTGGGCCTGATCTATCAATATAATGGTATGTGCCCAGTGTAGACACAGTGCACTTATATAGGACACTATAAAGCAGTCATTATTAAGGGAATAGTGAATGAGTTAACAAATAAGCAAGTTGGGATACAGCAAACCTTTTATCCCCTTACAGTCCTGTTTGTTGCTGTATCACGTAGACTACAACTGGATGACTGACCTGTTGGAAGCGGTGACCGAAGCTGAGCCACTCTTTTTCCAGCAGTATCTGAAAGCCTCGTATGGTTCTGTAGTGAGAGTCCAGCATTATCAGGGCCAGTGAGGTCAGCTGAGGAGTTCTGTCCCAGCCGTCACTGCAATGAACCACCACTGAGGTTTTCCCAGACTCCACCTTATCAGCTATCCTTAAAGATCCTGCCAGAATCAACTATCACACACACACACACACACACACACCACACAATCAGTGCCAACTTCATCATCATCATGTTTCTTAACATTCGAGAAAGGTGATTAACGTGATCAATCTCGTCTCACCTTAATATGCTCCAGCCAGTGGGTGGACTCGAGATTGGAAAGCCAATGAGAGTCCTCAATGTTGGGATAGACAACCTCCTTCAGTTTCCGTAGAGACTCACGCATTACATGAATGTTGTGAATATCCAGAAACACCAGTTCAGCATTCTGATAAGCATCTTCACTCTCATATCCACCTCCTTTCATCTAAAATACACATGGACACAGGCTTTCAAAGTTTCCCTTTCATTTAAAACAGACACTTAAAAAGAAAGTGCATGTTTACCTTGTTAGCTGCAGCATTCACACTTGGTCTGGCATCGAATATGAACATTTTGTGTGATTGGGCGTTTGCATCCATAATGGCCTGAAGGAGCTTTTCATCTTCTTTGCAGCGGCGACCGTTCTGGCCCACCATCGGTTGACTGGCACGAACCACTGCGGCCTGGCTCTCTGGGTGAATCCATGATAGCACCTAAACCAGGGCAAGCCAATAGCTTCAGTGGTGAGGCCCGAGGACGAATAATTGTGCACACACAGACTGACGTGTGATGATTCAGAAACGTCTCATGACACTGACCGGAATGCGTCCTTTGGCCCTAAAGCTGGAGACACGTCGCAGTTCCTCATCAGTAATGGTTACTGGGACAACTAGAGCTGCTGGGTATGAATCACATAGCTCATAGCGATCATTTACTTTGGAGATCCTCCAGCTCTCTTTTGGAAGACCCTACACACACACACACTTGTATTTAAAACATGACTCACAGATACTCGATTCTTAGTAGCTAATAACAGCATTCTGCATTTAAATATATTTGTAAAATGATGCTAAACTGTTTAAATGATTGTTGTCCCAGACAAACTATATCCTCTCTTGTAACACTATGTCCAGTCTCATTCTTTTCAAATAATAAAATTGTTAATATTTAAATGATTCTATTATTTTTTTGATAATACATGTATTATACTGAACAAAATTATAAACGCATTCCACAGGCCACAATCAACAACCTGATCAACTCTATGTGAAGGAAATGTTTTGCACTGCGTGAGGCAAATGGTGGTCACACCTGATACTGACTGGTTTTCGGACCCCCCCAATACAGTAAAACTGCACATTTTAGAGTGGCCTTTTATTGT